CTTTAAATGTAATCCAGTCTATTAGTCATATAGTCAAGTCCATTTTTACATGATTATACCAGTTATTAATTTAAATTTAAAAAAAAATGTAGTATCGATCAGATTGTAGTTCTATTCTGTAAACTGATCCATTAAACTTCATGATCAATGCATGATACTACCACACAGTAATAAGGAATTATTAGTGAAAAGTCTTAAGCCTAGACTTTGTCTTGTAAAAGAGTTTATGTAAGGATTAAGTTCAATTATGTGTGTATAACATGATGTTCTCTTATTAAAACCTTATTGATTTTTACCATTTACCAATTTTAACATTTATAAAAAAGTTTTTCAATAAAAATAGCATTGTCTATGAAGTGTTAAAAAGACCTTGGACAGTTAAAGTTTGTCTTGGTATACAATACTTAGAGTTCAAAAGGATAATGAATCAAAGCTGGTTAATGATTTAACAATAGTTCCAGTAGTCACTGAATGTTTATACAAGTTTATATGAGAACCAAAAACAAAGTTTGTTTTTAATTCAGCAGTACTGCTGAGATAATTACGACTACAGTCACATAGAATGTTACAGTAGTACATCATCTCAGTTCAGCCTAATCATAGCAATGAAGCGACATATTCTAATTGTTAAACACGATATTAATTAATTGACGAAATTCACTTTGTCACAACAGAAGACAGTTCTGGCGATTCCAAGTAAAGGAAAACATTCATAGGGCGCTCTGACGTTGTAACACATCATAAACCTTCACTCATCATCACAACGCCCATTTTAGCAAGTAAACTGCAAATACCAGAAAAACTTGAGACACCGTATATAACACTGTTTAAAATAGTAGAACACGTCTAGTGCATGTTTTATATAAAATAAAAGAGTATTAAGTAGGATTACTAAACCGTAATTCCCTGAAATATTGATAATAAGTACCTACTCACCCTCTCCACCCAAAGAAGTCAACAATTATCCGATAATAACACTTCAATCGCCACTTCTAAGTGTTTATCGAGAAAATCACCTCACTACGATATATTTTCGGCACTTCGTAAATAAATAAATGGTAAATTTTTTGGCAAATTCACAGTTAGACTGCCGCTATAACCGTGCCACAAAACGAAAATGGCAGCGTTGAATTGAAATGTGTGGTATAATCTAACTAATTTTATAAGACCTTTACTTCCACACCCTCGTCTTGCAAATCCGACGTAGTGCTACCTGCTTCTCAGTTACCAAATAACCAATTGCATTTAGTCGGATAGTACTAGTTCCTAATGATGTCACCGAAGCAGCACTTGCAACCAGAAATTGTCACAATGCACTTTGCATTGCCGTTAAAGTAAGTATTTATAACTTTATTTTCTTTGCACCTAATTATAAAGTATTATCGTATAGCCAAATTTTAGGTATTGGTAATTAAAAATATTTTATCATCTGCCATCCTAATGGTTCTATGTAATAACAAAACGTATAAAAGAAAGGAAGATGATCGTTCTGAAACAAATTATTAACCTATCTTAGTCTGATCCGAAATTTATTAAAATTGTGCTATACCAATCGTCCACGAAGTTTGACCTCGGATTGGTGGCCTTTAGAGGTCAAAATTTCCGTAATGGTCATATCTGATTGTAATTGTTCCCTCTTCAACTCCGGGCTTAAAAATGCAATCTCATTTGAAAATAGCCCTTCACCCATGAAATAACCTTCAAGGTTGCGATCAAGGTACATTTCAAGGTCACCAATGGATAGCCAGGAAAATTCCTGTAAATTTTGTGTTTAACGCACAGATTAGGAGATATGTATATGTATATATGTATATGTATTTAACATATTTCCGAAAAATGCATCCCTAGCGAATTATCCTGCTATTCCGGTACTTTTCTAACACTCTGTATATGTATTAATAAATCATATGATTTTATATATTGTTAATTTGTACTACAGTACTTTTTGACAAGACAGAGTTTGCACGGTCCTAATTCTTTTCTCATTTCAAAGTGAAATGAAACGCACAGTAGCATGATCATCAGCCTACCCTTATCCCAATTTTATGTGGGGTCGGTGCAGTAAGTATGACTCTTCCATTCTACTCTATCATTCGTCATCTCACTGTTTACTCCCTTTCTAGCCATATCCTCACTCACACAGTCCATCCACCGTTTCTTTGGTCTTCCTTTTCTCTTGTACCTTTCAACTCCCATATCTAAAACTTTCTTCGCCACATTTGCCTTATCCCTCCGCATGACATGTCCATGTCCATACCAAGTTAACCTATTACTTCTGTTACGAGCGGGGTATATAATAAATAAAAGTTGTCGGTTAATTACTTTATTTCACTGTATTTACAAACACTCACTATACTACTACTTATAATAGACTAGTAATCACTATATATCTTGTTAGTCGCTAGAAATTCACTCCAATGTTAATTCGCTGTATCGTAAAACGATATTGTCTCGAATGGCCAACATGCTCCGTTTTTATAGCGCTTTTGATTTTTACTAGAAAAATCTCTAGTATTCGATAGTCCGTTCCAAACCAACAAGAATTTTCCAGAATCAGTCACGCGTTACTTTCGCCATCTAGCGCTGGAAGGAACAGAACTACTCGTATTAACCACAATCTTAATAGATGTACTTTAGTCGATACTAGATGGCGCTGTCCCCCACATTTTATTCAATCGAACTATTTAATCATATGGCGCAACACTTCTTAACTTTTCGTCAAGTGGCGCTACTTTCGAGGGCGACTCCCTCGTATATATTGATTTCTAGCCTTGTCCATCCGATTCACAACCACACATCCATCTCAGCTATGCATTTCGGCTACGTTCAGGCGTCTCTCATCCGTTTTCTTAATGGGCCAACTTTCAGAACCATACAGTACGGCAGGTCTGATAATAGTTTTATAAATTTGTCCCTTCAGTGTTAAGGGGAAACTGGGGTCACAAATTGTTCCCGTTAACTGCCGCCGCTTCATCAATCCCGTATTGATTCAATCTGTACAGTTCGATCAATCTCACCACACATTGTAAGAGGGAGCAGAGGTACTTGAAATTGCAGCAAACTGTTATCGCCATCCCATCCAATAAAATAGTTTCAGGCTGGAGACACCGGTTTTTCCAGTCTGCTCTGGACCCCGTCTTCACCGACCAACACAACCAATGTGCCTCCTCCTGTATGTCCGATATCAGAGCATCCATTATCAACAGAAAGAAGTATGGGCTCAGAGCCGATCCCAATGAAGCACGCGCCAACGTGTAAATACGTCGAAAACGCTTGCCGCGAGCTTCCTTTGATCTGTGTTAAAAAACCGACACTAGTACCGATGACGACGAGCATACGTGAGCCGAGCCAAACACCCCGTTTACACGCTTGTGTTTGTGGACACTTGTCGAGGCTCGCCATGCGTGTAAACGAGTGATGAACTGACGACTAGTGGTGCCAAACACTATTTGTACACTAAATTTAAATTGTCCACTAAAACGGGTAGTTTCGACCCAAGGTTAGCTGCGAAATATTGCTTTTAGTGGCTAGTGGATTTTTCTAGTGGTAAGATTTTAGAGGACTTAGGAGATGATGTTGAAAGATGAATGTGAGAATTGTTTGTGTACTCAAACCTCAAGAATTTTTTATAAGAAAGGAACTTTGTGCCAGAGAGGACGAAGGTCTCGGAGTCGAGAGAGAAGTCAATAATATAGGCTATAATTTCGAGGACATAATCCAGGAACTATCATTCTAAGGCTGATTTCATCACAACCCATTACATTAGAACGGACAAACAGATTACATAGAAACAAACGATCTGTTTTAATTCCCCAGAAGGCACCGGAAAAAAAATGTCAATTTTGGGTCGGAACTTAAATCTTTTATCTGCTATGTGAGAAGTAGTAAAAATCTTTGTGGTTGGAGGTTGGAAGGAAAATGTTGTAACGAATATGGAATTGCAATAAACGTTGTCAAACAAATCGGTCCCAAAGAATCGTATCAATCTGAAACCGACGATAATGGTGCAGACAAAAACGATTCATTTAAAGAAGACGAATTAATTGAAAATAAGTTACTGTTGTTATCAAATAAAAAAATATATGTTCCTGATCTCGATTTGTTAATTTACTATTTGTATGTTTATTTATTGAATGTTAGCATTAGTTGAATGTTAGTACGTGATGAAATGGAAATTATCTATTATTGTGGGGGATCAGTGCAAGTAAAACCCAATAAACGATGATATCGAAACACATTTGATATGGATATTTTATTTTAACACCTATGACATGTACAATTCAATAGTCAGTTGTTTTTACTTTATGACACATATAATATAGCTTGAAGACAGGCATAGATAGTGGCTACAGAGGTGTTCAACTCTTTACGTTATCACAATTATACATACGTAATAAACAAAAAACGGCGTGAGGGGTCTATGGTCGGAACTATAAAAACTAGTTAAGTTCCTTTCGCTTATTGGTAGACACGTTTGCTATATTTATGAAATATGGAAAAGATGTGAGCGTCGATGCGCCACCAGAAGTGTCAAAAAAAGGTCTTGTTAAACATTTTTAGGTCTCGCTCCCATCCACTCTTCGTTTAAAAAACGGCATTAGGGTCTATGGATCCCCGGTCTCAACAAAGTTCCCAAGAAGTGTCGGTAGAAAGTCTTCTTACACATTTTTCGGTCTCGTTCCCATCCGCTCAGAGCGTGTAACGGAATTAATGCACTTCGTTCCAATAAGTATATTGTTTTCTTTCGCAATAACTAAAAGAAAAACAGTTTGTCCAAAATTTAGCTACTATTTTAGAAAGGCTGTTTTTCGGTGGTTTTAGATGTTCAATCTAGTGGAGAGTTCATTTAACAGTTGGCAATACTGCATTGGCGAGATTGGCGATAGTTCTGTTTTCGTCCCGTCGGGGTACATCGTACTGTGGGTTGAGTGCTGACAAATGCAAACTTATCGCGAGCGTTACAATCAAATATATATAAGTTTTATTTCTTTGAGAGAAACATGATAAGTGATATTATTACCGTTATAGCGCCCGTAAATATAGCTGTCATTAAATATTGGGGCAAACGCGATGAAGACCTAATATTACCATTGAACGATTCCGTTAGTGCTACTTTAGACACAAATGTAATGTGCGCTAAAACTTCGGTCTGTGCCCGACAAGATCTTATTGAAGACGAAATCTGGCTGAACAAGGAAAAGGTACCATTTTCTAAACGACTTCAGAATTGCCTGAAAGAAATAAAAGCTAGAGCCGCATCGGAAAACAGCGTTGATCCCATATTTCTCCATTTAAAAAATACGCGCCTTGCTCAGAAAATAATTTTCCAACAGCAGCAGGATTAGCGTCTTCGGCTGCAGGTTACGCGTGTTTTGTAATTCTGCCCTAGCTAAATTGTACAAGGTGAAATCTGATATCAGTTCTATTGCAAGATTGGGTTCTGGCAGTGCTTGTAGGAGTGTGTATGGAGGGTTTGTTAGATGGCATGCAGGTTCGAAGCCAGATGGCTCTGATTCTGTAGCTACTCAAATCGCTGATGCATCCCATTGGCCAGAAATGAGAGCCTTAATCCTTGTAGTTGGTGACAAAAAGAAAGAGACTAGTTCAACTGGTGGAATGGCAGTCTCTGTTAAAACTTCAGAATTGATGAGACATAGAGTAGAGTATTGTGTACCACAGAGAACCGAACTCATAGTTGATGCGATCAAGAATAAAGATTTCCCAAAATTTGCTGAGATAACTATGAAAGACAGTAATCAATTCCATGCAATTTGTTTGGACTCATATCCACCATTCGTTTATATGAATGATATTTCTCATTCTATTGTTGGACTGATTCATAAATACAATGAAATTTCTGGTAAAGTGAAGGTTGCTTACACATTTGATGCAGGATCAAATGCTTGTCTCTATCTCCTCGAAGAAGATGTTTCAGAAGTAATCTCTTTGATAAAGCATGTTTATCCTCCATCAAATTCCAAGGGTTTTGTAACTGGTCTTTCATATGTGGAAGATGTAAACTCTAAAATTCTAAAAATGTTTCAACCCAAAGACAAAGATTTGATTAAGTATGTTATCTATACTAAAGTTGGGGATGGTCCATCTGAAGTAACTGATGGCTCTCATCTTTTAAATAGGGATGGATCACTTATACATTTGATGTAATTTTATTGAAGTTAACATTTCAAGGACTAGTATTTTTAGGGAAAGTTTATTTAAATAATGTATTTTTAGAATAAAAATTGTTATTAATTAAATGGTACACCATGACAAAAGAAATTGTTAAAACTATGGTAAGAAGTTTATAACTTATATTTAATTTTCCTATTGATTGTTATTATAAGGTCCTAGACAAATCTGACAATATTATAGAGCTATACACCACTCAACAATCAGTTAGAAATCAGTTGGAGATCACTTTTGTGACAGATATTCACTGATTTGTTACATATTATGAAACAAATATTTTCTCTTTTTTTTTCAAATTTTGAACTGTTAACAGTTTAGAAAACTGTAACATAATAATAAGTACAGTGACATAAGAATCTCTTTCACTGAATAATAATAATAATGTAAGTATATTAGTATTTAAAAAAACATGTATGATACAATTATTGTGTAATAAATAAAACAATGTTTGTAATTACAATTACAACAATTATTTGTCACTAAATGTATGTAAAGGTTGTGGGGATAATGCAATTTAAATGTTTTTTACCAGGGTCTTTTAAAGTGAATAATAAAATATATTATAAACTTATATTTCCGAAAAGTATATTTAACTTTAATCACTTTCACTATTAATATGGTGGTTTCTGTAAGGCGGGCTGTTTGCTGGTTTGACATGTTAGTGGGAATAAAGAACTTAATATATTAAGTTAATGTGCAGCTCGATAATGAGTGTTGAATGAACTAATAGTTAATTCAACTCCAAATAAACAAATCAATTGTTCATCAAACTGTTAGTAGACTAGCTGAATCCATAAAACTATCTATCGATCATACTGAACTATAACTTCAGTATGTTAGTTGATACATTTGAAGCTTTTGAGCATTTGATACAGTTGAAGCTTAGTTGGAATATACCGTGGGTGTCGTAAGAGCAGACTAACGGGGCAAACTACACACTACCAACCCGTCTGGCTAGTGTGATATAGTAGGGCAAAGGCCTTTTTAAGTAGAGGCCTTTGGCTCTTGACGATGATGCCGAGATAAAAAGATGGCCGGAAACATTGATTTAAAAAAAAACCAGTACCGTGGAATACGAATATTGCGAATCAATCCCATGTTCTGCGACTTTTTCATCCTTATCAAAATCGGGGGAAAACCCGGGGAAAGGGTTCCCAATGGGGGAAGTGATTTACCCCTATAATGAACCCCGGGCCCCCCAAAAGAGTCATAACCCGCTTTCACATCCTCATCAGCCTATTGCCGGTTTCCACTGCCGAACGAAGGCCCCCCCTTTGGCCCCCGGGTTTCGTTTTGCCCTGTGTGACTTTTGGCCTAAATTGTTCTCTTGGGTCAGGGGCCGGCCCCCTATAAAAAGTTTTGGGGGTGGGGGAGGCCCCTAAAACTGGCGCCCTTCTAAATAAAAACGCCCCCTTTTTAAAAGGAAATTTGGCTTTATTTTCCGTACAAATAAGCAGCGGGCCGCGGGCTTTATAACCAAAATTTACTGTCCTAAAAAAATGCCAATCGTAAAAAAAAGTTCGTTTGACCAGTAACTAGAATTGGTTTTTGGGCAAAAAAAAAACGAAAACAGCACAAATAAAGGAATAAATTCCAAAAAAAAAAAAATTAAGTTAAATTTTGGTACTTACAAATTTCGCGAAAATCTACGTAAAATCTGGTAGGTACCTAGGCTCTTTACCTGACCGTTTTTTAAAAGGGTGTATGCCTATTTTACTTAATTTTGTCTCCCGCTTTGCTAAGGAGGAAAGTGGATTTACTGTATTTCAAATCCTCCAAATTTTCTCTGATTGTGCACTAGGGAAAACAAAGCCGCGCCAACGTGTAAGTACGTTGAAACCCTTGCCGCGAGTTTTCCTTTGATCTGTGTTCAAAAACCGACACTAGTACCCATCGATGATGTGCAAAAGCGAGCCGAGCTAAACACCCCGTATACACGCTGGTGTTTGGGACACTTTTCGAGGCTCGCCATGTGTGTAAACGTTCAATTGATTTCGGCACCCCCCCTTGATGGCGCCCGGTGCCGTCCCCACCGCTCGCACCGCCCTAGGACCGGCCCTGACCCGTGGTGACCCGTGACATTGACACTGGCTTGGTCACCATCTTGGATCTTAAGTTTAATAACATTAATTTAGTCGATAATGTATCGAAATTTAGGCTTTATCTCCTCTGACATTTCTAAGGACTTAAAAGTAGAAGTAGGGAAGACATTGGTAAGGTAAGACATAGGGTAGTGCAGTGGAGCAATACCAATAAGCTGTACTTTAACATAAGCTAAATGCGGAGTTATGAGTTTTCAGCCGGGCTAGGGGTTTCCACTGCGCTACACATATAAATGGACGGTGCGTTGATGCCGTACTTTAATAGCATCCGATATTTAGGAGTCGAAATGGTGCCCGAGTTGACGTTTCGTAATCATTTTTTTCGTTTAACTCATGCAGTAAATCATTTAGAAATTTAGGATTCATTTTGAGAAACTGTAAAGATTTTAATAACACGTCAGTGGTGAAAATATTGTACCAATGCTCTCGTTCGTAGTCCTCTAGAAGCGACCGCTGTAATTTTGGAATCCTCATGAGGCTAAATATAGCCTTATGGTGGAAAAAATCCAAAACAAGTTCCCGATTTCTGTACTACAAAGAAATACGGGGTGTACCCACTATAAACCCCCTCATGTACCCAAGCTTATTTCTTCCTCGGCATGGTCGGGTACTGCGCCTGAGCTTTAGGCGAGACGTGGCGCTGGTGACATACCTGTGGCGCGTGATGCGCGGTCGTCTGCACCAACCCGACATATGGCGAGTTTGCGGCTGTGCGCCTCTCCTTCCGCTGAGCGTTCCCGTAACGGGGAACAAATTTACTCGATATGCTTTCCCATATCACCGCCATAAGGCTTTTTTAATATTATTTCAATACAAATAGATATCTACAACTGTAGGCCTGCCGAACTTCAAAGAAGTCGCCAGAGATGTTATTACCCGCAAATGATTTTTATATATAAAAAAACTGTTACTTACTGTTTTTACTTACAGTATCGTTTTGGGGATAAATCCGTAAAAAACACTGTAATTGTTTTTAAAAAATAAATAAATAAATTTTTTTCGTAAAAACTCTGCGATGTAGCTCTTAGGCTATACTCTTAGACCTTAAAATTGAGATCATTATATATCCTAAAGTAAGACCCCGACAATTCTGATATTTGGTGACAAAAAATTTTGACTAATTTTCGAAAAAATTTTTGAGAAAACATCCTTCGTTGCCCCGCTGGGGAGAGTGCCCCAGCAGGGCCCCCTATAAACCCCTAATAAAATTTTGAACCAGTGACCGACAAATTTTGGTATTTGGGGGAGAAATTAGCGACTAAAATTTGGAAGAAACAGATCTTCGCTAGGGTGCCGAGTTTTTGAAAATACAAGTGTGGGCCCCGCTCGGGAGACTGACTCCAGCAGGGCCTCCTATAAACGCTTATAAATTTGATCCAGTGACCGACAATGCTGATATTTGGCGACAATTTTTGTGTTATCAAAAATTAAAATCCATAATGGTGGCCCTGCCAGTGACACTTGGTATGGCGTAAAAGTAGGTCATCGTGCTATGTCCGTATGGATTGAGGAGCCTACTTTTCATATCTCAATGAAAAATTAATTTTATTATTTAGTGGTAAAATTTAAAAAAAATGTAGTATAATGAACATAAAAGTTCTGACGGGGCTCCTCAATCTAAATGTTTGGATTGAGGAGCCCCGCCGAACTAGAAACATAATGGTGTAATCATCATACTTTTGTTTTTGACAAAATCAAGCTCCTTGATGTTAAAAATTAAAAAAGTCCATATAATACACTCATTTTTCAGAGAAATTTGCTTTCAATTTACGAAAAAACCCATCATTTGTGTAATAGGGATATTAAATTTGTATTAGAGTTTATTATTAAACTTAGTGAATTGGGGACTGGGGCATTTTAAAATGGCTCCTCAGTTAAATGCTTCTGTAATAGATTTGACTTTAAAAAATTTTACTTGTGAGGAAAAATTGGGGAAAAAAAATTTTTATGTTTTCTAAACATTTCTAATCTTTTATCAAAAATGAGTAAAACCCTGTCAAAAAAAAAAGTACAGTATCTCAAAATTATTAGCTTTTCTTAAATTTTCTCAATTTTTTTGAGGGTTTTGCTAAAATAATTAATAAAAGGTATTTTTCGTACCGGGAAATGCCCACTTTTTTAAATATATCATATCTATGCCATGGTATGCGGCAAAAGTGTCATTTCAAAAAGTTAAAAAATTTCAGGAAAGTATCTTACGACGAAAAGGGTAAAAACAAAATCTACTTTATTTTATTTCATCTAATTTTTTGGGGGTAACTGCAAATTAATGTTAGAATTTTAACTAACTAATATTCACTCTGCTCACACCCCCCGAAGGATAAGTTGTTTTTTTTTTCCGGATACGTATTTAAATGAAATTTGTAAAAGACCCCATCAATTAATTCCTTTTTCTTTTCCCGAATTGATTAAAATACAAATAACTGAAATTTCTGTCCATACCTATATTTCGATAATTGTCGAGTGTTTAAACTAGTTTAAAAAACTAGTTTTTGTGATTTTACATTTACATGGTCCCCCTAAAAACGATTTAAAAAATCTTGATTTAACGATCGAACTCGTGCGCCGGGGGTCCGTACCTATCCAATTTTACGTAGATTTTCGCGAAAATTTGGGAAGTCCAAAATTTTTTCTTTTTTTTGGAATTAATTCCTTTATTTTGGCGTAGACGTTTCTTTTTTTCGAAATTTTTGTGATTTTCTAGGGCAAAGGAACTATATATAGGTTTTGACCCAATTGGGTTTACCTACAATTTTCATTTTTGTTAAAAACAAGGGCTTAGGCACAAGTAAAAAGAAAATTCTGAAAATTAAAAAAAAAGAAAAATTAAGGTAAATTTGCCCATATTTTTTTTCGTGTTGACTCAGGGCCTTA